AGTAGTAGTAGTAGTAGGAGCAGCAGGAGTAGTAGTAGTAGTAGTAGTAGTAGTGGTAGTGGTATTAGTATTAGTATAACTATAACTATAACTACAACTATAATTATAGTTATATTTTCTTAACTATAATTACAGTCATAACTATAATTATCAGTATAATTCTTAAATATATACATAGATATAATTATACATTTAATTTTCAGTATAGTTAGAATAATAATAACAATAATCGTAATAATAGCAGAAATAATAATGTATTCATGATGGTCATAGCAAGAATAATAATAGCAGAAATCATAACAATAGTAAGAATACCAATTCCGCTAAACACTATTGACAAAGTTTCCATGGGATAACCGCCCTGAGCACCTATCCTGAGACACTCAATTCGGCGTGGTGTCGGTGTGAGAACGAGTAAGCTTGATCAGTTTAGGGTTTAGGGTATCAGCGAATCAACACTCCACGCAACTTCCGAAAAGAGCCACATAGCAACCTTCACTAACCACCTGAAGCTCTACCAGTACAAGGCTGCTGGGCTGCTGGACAAGGAAGTCCGTAGGCAGCGGCACGATGTGGTCTGCCAGGTTGGTGATGATCACCTCAACCCCACTCTACGTTGGGATGCCTTGCGACTTACGGCTACTGCGCCCTCTGCGTCCAGGTGCGAGCTAAGCAGACCAAGGTCTTCTGAGATATCCCCGGCAGACTTCCCGATTCTGGGCCCTGCTGTGCCGTTGCTTCTAAATGTTTTTTTCCTACACACCCGACACTTGCTCGCAAGTTGCGTGCTTCTCGGTGATGCTCGGGATGTTCGGTGTGCCAGAGAGGCGCATCACCTCGAACGGAGCATGTCGAAGGACGCAGTCTAATTTAAAGACTCGAATCAAAGCCAGCCCTAGTTTACTGCGAAAGCAGGACCCGGAAGGCATGCTCTAGTGACTATTTAATCCTTCAGACTGAAGAAATTCAGAAATTCATGTGTGGGCTGCCGGCTTTTAGGCCTTAACCTTAAATGGCTTTTAGCGGGTTGGGTCTAGGGGATGTTCTGACAGGAGCCAGCCGGGTGCTGTTACGGCCTTGTTGAAGCTCCTTTCAGCATCCGAGTGGAGGAACCCTGACTCGCCCTGCGTCTTGCGTCCTAAGCCTCAACCCCGGCGCCTGATTGTACCGACGCCACCCCAAATGAAACACAGCCGAAACTTTCAAGTTTTCGACTCTTCGACTTCCTCCAAGCGGCCATCTGGAGCTCATCCTGGAGCATGTGGACCATTCGGACGATGCCGTTCCTGGCCCCCACGGAGCTGGCACGAGATTGAAAGTCTCGGAAGGCTTTACATTGAGCACAGCTGGGGCAGCTATGAGCGAATTGCACTGGCCTAAACGCCTGGGAGCACATGAAACCCAAACCTAGACCTAGACCCTAAATCCGAACCCTACATCCTGCGCCATTTCCGGGAAGACCGGCCTAGAGCTCCCAGGACATCGTGTCTAATCTGGGTTCAAATTTTGTAGCAGAGTGCCAACCTTCGACTGGGGTCACAGACATTCGCTACGTAGGTCCCACGGCTATCGGAAGGTAATGCCATGCATGCTGGAGTGTCGAAACGAAAAGTCAATCGATCGCCGATCATAACGTCGAAGGCCTGGGGCATGATGGATAATATCACCTGAAGGATCGCCTTGGAACAGTAGCCTGGAGGACATTCGGTGGGCTAGACCCAAGATAATCGGAGGCATCCTGCCATAAGTCTGACTGATGTTGAAGCTGAAGAAGGGTAGCTTCGTAATCTCCGTTGATCACTAGGTTCATCTCCTCCCTGTGTTGATGACTAGGTTCTTTTGGGTCCTGATTCCCAAGGTCATCCCGCCGTCCCAGCCACAATGTCCAAGAATCCCAAATCATAAACCCTGGCGTCCCGAAATCTCCAGAACTAGCCCTTATACCAACCCGGATAGTAACGCCTATAGTCACCCTGACAGTAACCTTTACAGGTATTGAATCACTTGTGGTAACCCTTGAGTTGCGGGCCGAGCTTCATGCCGTAAGAGGCAAGGGAGTAGAGGACCGGGCGGCCCACACCCACTGCCTGCTCGGGGTTCTACGTGGGGTGTAGGGATGCATGTGTTTTGCTCCTGAACCCCATCCTCGAGAAATAACAGAGGCAATAACAAGAACGAGAGAAACAACCACAATGATTGCAATGAGTCGCATGCTTGGACTTTTGGATAGAGCTGCTGCTCAGTTGAGATGTGTTTGTTCGTTTCATCCTTGTTGCTCAGTATGTTGTGGACTACATGAAGCACAACCACAGTCCTTCTGACTCTGGAACCGTAAGCCCTAAGCCGCTTAACCCGCCTGCGCGCCCAACGCCACGGCCTTGAAGATATCGCCGCCACGGCGCACGCCACCGTCGATGAAGACGGCGAAGTTCTCCTGACACGCAGAGGATCATACTTGCAATAGCCTGACACGAAAGACGACAACCGCAACGGCGAGTAGAGGTTGCGATTACCAGCAATATCAAACCCATCCACCTACAAAGAGTACCTCTAGACTGTATCTGTATGCCTATACATACATGTACAAGTGCATTCATAAACAGACAAACATGTGTTTATTATTATTATATATATATATTGTACATAAATATGTATGTATATATATATATGTGCATACACTATTCATATTCATATACATATACCTGTACCTATACCTATACTACCTATACATATACGTATACATATACATATACATATTTATGTATGTATGTAT